GTCACATTGTGAAAAGAATACTGATAGGTATGGGAGAATTCAATAGACCACTTGGATAGAGTAAGATGATTCATTGATAGTGAATTGTATTTGTGGATGATGGATATTGATACTGAGAGTAAAAAGGTCCTATCTATATACAGGAGTTCCTACCCTTATTCCTCTACATGTTTTTGTCTATGATAGCTACAGTAACTACAATGGTGTACTCATTGTAGTGAACACGTTGATGTCGGTGTTTTTGTTTTGTTCATTTACGTGCTAGGTATAGTAATTCCCGTTGCACTCCTACTGGAGCCTAAGCACGGGTGGGGCCGAGCCGGATCAGGTTAACTACCGTAAAGTACAAGTGCCTCGTCCCACCTAAATGACCAGACCACCTCAGACTTCACCCATGTGTTGAATCATGTCAAGCCCAACCGTCCAGAGAACCCCCTTTTGGCGCGCCGAAGCGCAAATTCCTCCTCAGCCTCGGCCACCACGCGCCCAAGCCCTTGACACCTTCGCCTTCTGTAACTTTTACCTTCGATTCATTCTCAGCTTTGGCTCATCTCAGCATCTCCTCATCTCATTCAGGGGTCGTTTTCTTCACTGGAGGCCTCATCCAGTCGCCCACCAAGGCCTCCTCAGTGCCGGCAAAGACGAATTCTTCACCTTCCAGTGGTGCCGGTGTAATCGCTCAGTATGCTCTGCATATCTGGGATAGCCAAGATGAATCGCATCCGAATCGAAGTCGAAAGCAAACACACGCATATCTCCATTTGACGACTTCTCAATCATGCAGCACTCACCATTATCTTCTGAGCCCTCAACCCCGATCTAACCACATATCATCTCGCCTCGCCGACCGATAAAGGCGTCACCCCAGTTACAAACAGGAGCTTGCCTCATTTATCACCGGCCATCACTCACTACAAATTTACGACGCTACGTATACCCGCAAGGAGGAAATTAAGTCATAATATACAAAGTTGGGGTCTTGGTTTATGGGGGACTGTTGCTCTAATGGGGTTATACATCTTGAGGAAGGACAGGCGGCTGAGATATGGAGCGAGAGGGGGAACAGGTCTCTGAAGACCATGCTGGGACTGACATTTTCGAGGAGTTTTCAACTTTGGATTTTTTGTGGGCGCCAAGACTGAGATTTCGGCTAATTGGCCAGGAGGGCTTCTTCTGTCGATGAGTCAACGGCACTCCTCAGCGCCCTGGACGGTACAAAAGAAGCTAGGCTAAGCTACTATACAGCAATCACGCTCTGTCAAGACTTTTCTGACATTTCAGCATGACCTTCGGGATGGAGTTGGAAGGAGACTAGAAAGGCAGAGGGTGAATTTCCCGAGGTACCCACAAGTCTGCAGCACCCAGCTGGCCGGCCTCTTCGAACGCATCAGAAGGATCACTATGTCTTCGGATTTAGTCCTAATGTCGGTATTAGGAGAGCTCCGCACACAGTGGTTTTTTGCGATTTTCCCGGCTGCCATACACCCGCAAATGGCCATCGTTTCGTTGGCTGGAGAGGGGAGATAATGAAGGGTTAAGGGCTCCTCTAAGTGTATTATCGAATGAGGACTTGTGAGGGGTGGTACTGTTTGAGGGGAGCTGTATGGGAGGCATAGGAGGGGATAAACTACTGGTATAGGTATCCTTGGCCTGTAGGCAGAGAAGACCTGCATGTCCTACATAGTCATAGACTCAGACAGGACAATAAAATGAAATAATAAAAAAATAAATAAAAGGCCTCCTCATTTTGTGCTCCCTTTTGGTTCCTTCATATAGTTGATGTCAGTGTGTAGCGACCAGGAGGCAATAGTGATCAGACTCTTAGGGGCTAACTTAGCTAGTGCACGTTTATTCCCTGATGGTGTGTGCAGTTATGAACTCAGATTTTTACAACACCATTTAGCTCAGTATTTACCCGTAGAATTGGGGGACTATTCTCAACACCTGTCAGTGGTGTCCCCTGCGAACCTCCAACTCTCACTGAAGAGTCTACAGAGCCGAGATTGAGTAACACCGTCCTCACTTCGACGAGGATTCCCAATCGCTACCGCAGCCTGTATCGTCTTCATCTTTCAACACATTCCCCTATCACCATTATCATGAAGCTAACCACGATCAGATCAGATTGTAGGATCGGAGCCCTTCTCATCACCAACCCTTGATCATGGAGGAAAAGCCATCCGATGAGTTTCCGGAGTGTACCCAGCACCCGATACGGCGATGGTAGATTGGATCAAGTTGACCTCTAATTTTTCAAATGAGGAAGATGTAGAAAGAAGTGCGCATCACATGTGGTCCCGGTGTCTAGGCCTCGCCTGGCTGGGGCTACAGGTTTTTTGAGACTTTTTCCCGCGCACGCAGTTTCCATTGCTACCTTTTTTTTTTTTTTTGGGTAGAACGTTCCGTGGAAAAGGTGGCTGAATTCCACGGGTAAATACTGAGCTGAATGGCTATTCATCAAGGGCAATATATCAATGATCTTTCAAGTAACAAAAGAGGATAGAATCACTGTACAAGGTGTGGCATGGGTCAGAGAGCAGCCCAATGTGCTAGATAGTCTTTGACTCAAATTGAATAATAAACACAAACACACACACTTCTTAATTCGGGGGTTTAAATTATTTAATGTGTATTCAGCTATCTAGCTCTGACACATGACCGGTGCTATGTATACATGTGGGATGACTCTTTTGACGTTAGAGACACTCATGCTCTGGATTTCATTCGCAAATACCACTATGAGGTATGCTTGCTGTTGGTATGACAAAGGTCATACACTTAGAGTCTATTAGTTCACTTAAAGTTATGAGAGTACTTGTGTAAGTATTTCGAACTATCGTTCAGAAGAAATGCGCATTCATGGTTCATTCGTTATCTAGTTTACAATGATGCTACAAGATATTAACTATGTTGCGTTCTGATAAAGTATTTTCCGAATGACGAAATCCACAACGAAGGAAATCGTTTGCATGTAAACCAAGAACCACCAACTCCAAGTAAACCAAGCTAGAGATGCTATTCCAACACTTGCTTACACAAACAGTCGACCCTCCTCCGTAAGTACCCACCAAAGGGACGTTTCAAAACCTTTGATTATCCAAGCATGCCTTCGCCATCCATGTATACCAGCGCCGCGAGAAATGTGGTTGTGTTTTGCCGGATTTGAACCAGCGATCTACTGTCTCGAGTGGAATATGTGTCCAAGCTATGCAGACTCTACTTGGCAGACCGGCCAAGACGATGTACCACCACACCATCAAACCATGGCGTTGTTTATAGTGTCGCCTGCACTCTCGCAGCGGAAGCCGTGGCACGCACAAATCTCAATTTGAAAACTCCCTGCCATAATTCGAAATTTCACGCCCGTCGAGACTATATCCATCGTCTGCATCATCTCGTGAAATTTTCCTGGTCTCTCGCGTCCACCACAAAAAAACGTCTCACAGATTTGTGCGCCACGCTTTTCTTCCTCCGCCGGGTGTAAATATCGGCGTGGGCGTGTATTTGGTGACCGGCTGAGGCCAGAGAAGGTCGGCGAGAGGTGTGGTCATTGGAATGAGGATGTACTAGGTCGTACTTGTAGACTTGATGAGGCTTAGGTACGATTCGATCTTTTTTGGAATGAAAATTTGACGTGGTGGAGTTATTTGAATCATTGCCTCGTGGGCCAACTTGTTCGGTATTGCAAAATTTGACTGAACTTGGCTCTGGGAGAATATTTCACTCCCAACTTCGTAGAGGACACCACATACAGGTGTTCAGTCTTGCCCTCTGATCAAGACTTCATCCAGGCCTATTGAGTCGTGTGGAGAAGTGTATGACGTATTTAGAATTAATTTAAGAAACAGTAACTTATGCCTTGTTTATTAGACACAGGACTAAATATAATCAGGCTTCAGCCAACGACAGTGACCACATTTTTTTTTAATCATTTGATGTGTATGCAGCCATCTAGCTATGACAGAGTGGCCACATTATGTGACAGTTATTTGATGTAACAATAAAATGGCGACGGCGAAATCGATATATCGAATGTCGTTGATTTGTTAAACTTAATGTGAGAACGTGATGCGTGCGCGAAGAAGACATCGTTGTAACGAGTCCGCACTGTATATGGATATGCGCGCCTCATGTGGCTCCCGTGTTAATGCCTCGCCTGGCTGGAGCTGCGAGACTTTTGAGACTTTTGAGATTTTTTTCCGCGCTCGCGGTGTGGCAGGCTAGGACCGGCCAGCTTCTCGCTGGGCTCGGTATGACTTTAGGGCTCATCCTTGCTACGTGTGCGCAAGATAGTGGGTAAATATACGGTGGGTACTGAAGTGTAAGTAGGCCATGTGCAAAGCTTAGGGGATCTGGAGTGGGCATTGTAGTTACAATGCGCTTTAGCTTCCCGCTCCAGAGTTCCCCATAGACAACATGAATATTTCATTTCGCATTACTTCCGTTATCTGTTTGAAATTCTTAGCCCGTCAAGCGCAGTTTTCACTGCTACCTTTTTTTGGCTAGAAAGCTCCGTGGAAAAGATGGCTGAATTACACGAATTAAGACTGAACTGCATGGCTATTTATCAAGGGCAATATATCAACAATCTTAAATATATCAAAGAGGATTAGAGCACTGTAAAAGGTGTGGCCTGGTCCAAACAGCAGCCCGATCTGCCAGATCATCGGTGACTCAGGTAGTACAATAAACCAAATCAACCACTTATCCAAGACTACTGCAAACGTGACGAAAATGACTCACGATATTAGGCGGAGTGTAGCCAACAAAACTAAACCTTAGCTTTTATTAAATCTAAAACTCACCTTAACATGCTCGAGGATGTTCCCCATGACCATAAGCTCGTTCAGATAATGAATTAGAAGCATGGATTTTCTTCACAAAGTACCTTTTCGAAGTTGCGTCTTGGGTGATTTATGTCGGCATCGTGCCTCGTATTGAAGTGCTAACTGATCGACTTTCCGGTCTGTAAGAAAACTCCACAACTTAGTAACCCCAATTTAAAACATCTGCCAGAGACGGCCTTTAGCAGAAATTGCAGTACTCATTTCAATCTCTGACATATGGTTTCGACATCTCTCGTTGTAATAGGAAATGGTCTTTTTTTGCTCGTGCTGTTTTCTGGCGACTTTGTTTCGAGATTCCTGTCTATATTCTTCCAAGGTAGCATACGCGTTTTTCATGATATTACTTATTTGCGGATTGGTAGCTCGTAAGAAATTGATGATAATTCTTCCGTTGTTCCTTACATTATAAGGAGTGGTATATAATCCCCACATTTTCTCCTTAGAATTCCACGCAAACATGTGCAGATGGTCTTCGAACCATGCTAGCGAGTATCTTTCACTATTCATATTTCCTTCGGTGATTAATTCGCCATTTTCGACGTAATTTTCAATCTCAATTGGACTTTCAAGTCTTATTTGAGGCTTACTCGAAGCTGTGCCGCGTAATGGTGATTTATTGCCCATGATCAAATATATTCGCCAATTATAAGCAAGTTGGACAATAAGTTTCTCAGGACATATGTTCTTATCTAAATATCTGGTAGAAATTCCACTCTTCTGAAAGAATGAACTCTTCTTCTCATCCATTTTTCTTGTTATATGTTGAAAGCATATTTCTTCTCTTTCGTTATTTTTGCTGGATGGACTACGGAGTTCCCCCGTTTCCTCGGACAACTGCAGAACTATATCATGATATATATCGGATGAGGTCTTATCCACTGAACAGTATATGGCAAAATAAGTACCTGCTTGGTGATATGTAGTCGGTGTTTTAAATATCGGGATGTTCTCGTTAGGTTCAGGGAATTTCTGATTAGGGTTTAAAGTGTATGTCATTTGAATAGAGTCAAAGAGATCGTCATAAGCAAGGACCAAACGATTATTTGCGCCCGAGTTCATTCCTGTATATAACAGAGTAGCAAGGAGACATGACATCTTGGTAACATGGGTAGGTACTTTTAAGTCCGACTTAGTCACACAAGCACTTATACAGCGTGTTAGTAATGCACCCAAAGATACTGTCCTCTGAGGGCCTGGAAATGCAGCCTAATGTTTATGAGAGAAGCGTTGGGGGAAGGCGATTAGTATTAAATGTAAATGGTAGAGACCCTTGCAAAAGTCTTTAAAGGAATGAGTGGGAAATGCATTACGAACACCGGAAGATTTGTCATTCTATTTCTTCCCAGCTGGTCAGCCTGGAATCATTTCGCACGAGTCATTCTGTTGATGGAATTTGTCTGATTGAAACTTATGGCAATCGAATTGATGCTCCACTTTAAAGATACAAGGTATGATAAGCGTATTAATTTGTCAGCATAGAACCAAGAAATTTGGGAATGGATCAAGTAAGCCTCATCTGAGCATGCAGGGTAAATATGACTTGGTAGGCACAGGAGTAAAGAGATTTGATTGGACTAATTTAACATGTCAGACTAAAGCCCTATACCCAAGAAGCTTGACGCGAAAGGGTGTTCCCAAAAGACCAACAAATACTACTGAAGCTAGCTTTATATAGCCAGAAATTTACATGAATGAAACCCAAAAATGTAAAGGGGAGGACGAAGGCTGAACCCTGTCAGTGGTGCTCTCTACGAACCTGGGAGCGAAATATTATCCCAGAACCGATATTCAGTCACGAAAAAGGGTGGTATGAATTTTTTTATGGATTTTTGACTTGAAGGAGTTACACTCGATATTTAGGTCGAAAAATCAGTCAGCAGAGATTTCGCAGCCGGAACAAAGTTGAACAAAAACTCATCACCACTAACATACGATTCACGAATAAGCCTAGGTCCGTCTGGGAGTCGTATTCAAACATCCGACATCTCTTTAACTCATTTTATATTTGCGACGAAATATTTCTCTGTCGATCCTATACCTACGACTTACCTCCATACTCGTCCGATCACCTACCTACACACGCCCTAATGAGGAAAGTCATGATGGAAACGGGACGTGTACAAAGGAGAAATAGGAGGGAAGATACATCGAGGGGATTACACAAATCCCCAATGACGAGAACAACCCAACGGTACGATATGAAGGTGCAAGGCTAGAGCAACGATGAGATCTTGGACGGCATTTATATCTCGGAGTCAATGAGGATTTCAAGGGCTCGGGCGCGTGGTGGCCGAGGCTGAGGAGGAAATTGCGCTACGGCGTGTATACAGCGAGTTTCTGGACGGTTAGGCTTGGTATGATTCAACACATAAGTGAAATCTGAGGTGGTCCGATCATTAAAGTGGGACGAGGTATATCTGTACTTCACGGTAGTTAACCTGATCCGGCCCAACCCCACACGTGCCTAAGCTCCAATAGGAGTGCAACGGTAGTCATGTAACCTAGCACGTTAATGAACAAAACAAAATAAAACCTAAGACAGAAACCTGCAATCTAACACAATTAGGTTAGGAATCGCCATCTACAACCTAATTCAAACAGAATCGGAATTGACTTTGTTTTCTTCGTTCGATCGTACAGATCACGACCTCATTTCGTGACACCTGAGATCCAAAATATCTGTACTAACCCATTCAATCACAACAGAGTTATAAATTAGTCGACTGTGGCCTAAGTTGACCTGCTTTGGCCTATTTTGAGGGAGTGGACAGCTTCAGAGTTATCGAAGCGTTTTTTTCAAATCATTTAATGTGTATTCAGCTATCTAGCTTTGACACATGACCGGTGCTATGTATACATGTTGGATGACTCTTTTGACGTTAGAGACACTCATGCTCTGGATTTCATTCGCAAATACCACTATGAGGTATACTTGCTCACACAAACAGTCGACTCTCCTCTGTTAGTACCCACCAAAGGGACGTTTCAAACCTTTGGTTATCCAAGCATGCCTTCGTCATCTTTTTATACCAGCGCCGCGAGAAATGTGGTTGTGTTTTGCCGGATTTGAACCAGCGATCTACTGTCTCGAGTGGGATATGTGTCCAAGCTATGCAGACTCTACTTGGCAGACCAACCAAGACGATGTACCGCCGCACCATCCAGCCACTGCGGTGTTTAAAGTGTCGCCTGCACTCTCGCAGCGGAAGCCGTGGCACGCACAAAGCTCAATTCGTAAAATTCCTTGCCAAAATTCAAAATTTCACGCCCGTCGAGACTATATCCACCCTCTGCATCATCTTATCAACTTGTCCTTAGCCCTCTCACGTCTATTTTAAAGAACTGTCTCCTAGATTTGTGCACCACGCTTTTCTTCCTCCGGTGGGTATAAATATAGGCGTGGGCATGTATCTGACGACCAGCTTAGGCCAGAGAAAGTCGAAAAGAGGTGTGGTCATTGGAATGAGGATGTACTGAGTCGTACTTGTAGACTTGATGAGGCTTAGGTAGGGATGGATTTCGTTGGGAGTGAAAGATTGAGATGGTGGAATAGTTTGAATCACTGCCTCGTGGGCCATCTTGTTCGATATTGCGAAATTTGACTGAACTAGGCTCTGGGAGAATATTTCACTCCCAACTTCGTAGAGGACACCACGTACGGGCGTTTAGTCTTGCCCTCCTCTTTATTCGGATAGGGCTGAGGCAATGAGATTTAGATTCGTTCAGGCTGGTCATTTGGATTTATTCAGTAGCCCTAACAATTTTGGCAACTTCAGTTTTTAAGGGTTTGTCTACTTGGAATTCGATACTCGATATTTTAATAATTTGACATATGGATTTGTAACCTTGATAATTCTAACTTTGATTACTCTACTCGTCTCTTTATAACTAATTCGTACCGTCGATAATTTGTCTTCGTCGAAACCGACTCGACCTCTGCAGCTTAACAGCTTCGAAAATCTGCCAATAAGTAGATTCATAACAGGATGTACAAATAGCTACTATCGACAGATGTGCCACTCTTCTCTACATGTAGTTTGACCTTTATTAAAATTCACTCTAACTAGCTTAGCATCGTCACATTTTACTGATGAAAATGATACTGAAGATGTTGAAGATGAGCCCTTTGAACCAAGGAGTAACCAAGTATAGGTCACCAGCATCTCTGATGAAGAAACCAGATGAGCTACCATACTATGCCAAACGAACCCACTGTAGTGGACGCTATCACTTTTCGGCTTCTCGTGGCAACACAGCCATCGATCAGCTACGCATTGAAAGCACCTTGTTAGGGCTTGCTACCATGGAAATAATTCCCCATAGTTTTTAAGCTGGCTGGGGTTATACTTCTCTCAAAACCTGGATGTGATCACAGCACAACTAAAAGATGGCGACCCATAGCTCTTCTCAACCCCTTAGCAAGTACTTAGGAGACACAACGCGAAGATGATAGCATATATCTCCCAATCATAGGAGCTGATACCACGGCAGATATTGGAGACTCTTTCTGATATGTCTGCTAATGATCTTGTCGGGTGTGTCAAACAAATGTAGAACACGCCATAGAGAATAAGAAAAAAGCAGTATAAGTCGCCCTGGATGTACAAGGGGCCTCTGACGCTGTACAATACGAATAAATACTTCAAAGGATGAGGAAAATTTTGCGGCTGGAATCAACCATTAATCGTACCAAATCCTTTCTCAAGGGTTGCTCCGATTGTGTTTATCACGACGACGGAGCAATAAACCAGATAATTCTTGAATACGGGTTCCAACAATGATAGCTGTTGTCGCCAACTATTGTAATAACGAGGTTATGAGAAGTCTAAGAATTGTCACAATGGGTGTAACAGTCAACTTGGGTGGATGTAGGATAGCACTTTAAGTCTAACGTGAAGAAGACAGATATATATTGTAGATCTGCTATATTGATGACTATTGAATATAAGAGAGGAAAAGGTTGATCATATACAGAGGTCTAGCAGTGAGTATTTATACACAAAGACAATATACACAATATACCATCAATAGCAATAACTGCCAACCATTCAGCCATTCAACAACTATGTCATTAGTTATACCTGCGTCATATTATCATATAATCATGTATGGTCGAGATATTGGTGTTGTCATTGCTGTGTGCCAATGACGTATCATTGACGCAGGGTCGCTTGTCTTGTTGGTTCACTTGCCCAATACTAGCCATTCCAAGTTGTGTGATCTATAAGTGGGTCTGATCACAACACCAACTCTCTTCCCTTTCTATATGGCTGAAGTCATTAGAGATAGCAGTAAGAGATTTAGCTATGCAGATGACATTGTTATCCTTGGGAAAGGCTCAACTCTAAACGGAGCTGCAGTAGCCGTCCAACGAGAAGTCGATCTTGTGAAAGATTTAATCTGTCCATAACTCTGAGCTTGATGATGGCCAGCAAGACGAAGAATATTATGACCTGTCATTCAAGATAAATGGGCGAAAAGGGCATTAATTAGAAGATAAGACCGATATAGTAAGGAGTGATTAGCCCAGAGTAGGTATGGGCGTTGTGAATGTAGTCGGAAGCATCTTCAAATTATAGAGGAGTCAAGTGCGCGATATATATATACACGTGTCATATCCCTGTCACTAATTACCAGACCCCGCACTGCCATAAACACCATCAATCTCTGCTATCCATCGCAATCCCGAGTATCAATATGAGTTACTATTATACGGTATGTTTGTACGGGTCGACATCAAGATAGAAATGTTAACAGATCTCGCCCTAGAATGGGCTACTGATAGCACCGCATATTCTGACCCAGATAAGAGCGAAGAGATTTGTTTTTGTCGATATATCTTAGGTTTACAGTGATATCACAGCGGACAATTAGTAGGTATTCAGTTGATCCATGAAGTATATTCTCTTGTGCCTACTCCTCGAATATTATAAGCTACAAAAATCAATCTATGTCATATTTCGTTCCGTCATTACTATCCTACTAACTAATGAAGCTCCTCTCGTTCCTCCCAGATAGAGAATTCCACAAGAATTAACCGACTAATAAACAGTTTTCTCAGCCCTAGAGGTAGAAGATGTAAACTTCCAACCATA